GTGCTGAGATTACAGGCATGAGCCACTGTGCCTGGCATTAAATATTTATTTTTAAAATATAAATGTTTACTATAAAAAATTCAAGCAAAACAGAAAAGTACAAAGAAGTGTTTTAGAAAAAACTGAAAATCCCATGACTGTAAATGATTAGGATTCACATCTGGTAAAAATTATTCGAGAAAGAGGTGTCAATGATTTAAGTAGTAGTAGTAAGTGGAACTGTGGTATTAAATCAGAGACTGAAGATGGCCTGGCCTAACACAGCTTTGTGCTGGGGAGATCCATCCACTGATTGAAAATGATGACAACACATTTTTTTCTTAAATATTAACATTGTTTATAGCTTATCTTAGTACTGTAATCACAGGCACTGGTTCACATGTGTGAGCTAATCGTTATGCTAAATTTCATAGTATAAACAAAAAAAACCACACATACTTTCAAAACCTCTATTTCCTCCTTGGAAGGTATAAACACACATAAATGAAGAACATCCATCCATCCATCCATCTACTCACCTCAACTAATATTTACTAAAACAATAAAAATGGCAGTATTTATAACAGTGGTTAATAAACGCGGGGGAGTGACTTGAGTGAGTATGGTTTAAGAACACAGGTAAGGAATCAGAAAATGTCACTGTGAGAGTGCTGTAGGGCAGTGGCCCTCAAAGTGAGTTCACCAGATCAGCAGCATCAACAATGTTTCAAAACTTCACAGACTTGCAAATTTTTAGGACCCACCCCAGACTTAATGGATCAAAAAATCAGAAAATCTGGAGGTGGGCCCAGTAATAAGCCTTTTAACAAGCCCTTTAGGAAATTCTGATGGTCAAGCTTGAGAACCACTGTCTTAGATTTACCAAAACAAGCTCAGTATCACCATTTTGCTCAGGAAGCTGACTATCTTAGGTCTGGATCTATTTGTGTAGTTTGTGCTTCTGCTCTAGTTGCAATTTTATGAAGTCTATTTAGAGGAGAAACTAGGAAAGTAATAGTACTGGTGTAGTAATTAAAAATATGGACTTTGCAATCAGACAGACCTGGATTGGAATTCCTGGTCTACACTTATTTGTTGTGTGATGTTCTCTGAACCTCAGCATCCTCATCTTGGGATACCATTACCCACGTTATGGAGTTAGTATTGATTAGACAAGATGACAGAAGTAATACATTTAGCACAATGCTTGGTAGACAGTGAATACTCACATTCTTATAAAACCAATAATGAAGAGAAATGTTAAATTCAGAAAACAGACCAAGAACATAAACTGGCAATTCACAAAAAAATAAGGTATAGATGGGCAAAACATTTCTTTAATAATTAAATGCAAAGTAAAGCTTTGAATATAACTTTTGCCCTATTAAATTAGCAGAGAGATAAGAAAAATAATAATACTCATTGTTGGCAAGGACATTTCATAAGCTGCATCTTCATACACTGTTAAGAAGACTGTAATTACTATAACCTAACTGAAGGTGTAGAGGACTTTTATACGCTATTCAGAGAAGAAACCTGGAATGGAATGTACTAAATAGGTACATTAGGGTTTGCATAACCTGGAATGTACCAGTCTGCCTGTCTGATAACCAAAAACCATAATAACAGGCAATAACATCCGGAACTAACAACTAACACCTGCACCTGTGATCCCTAAAGGACATGTTTGTATAGAAACTATACCTAAATGCAATAGCTCTCTAGTAATTTCTCATAAAGGAGAGACTTTCTAATAAACCTGAAATAACACCTGCAAATCTGAATAGCAATAAGGGCAAATTTGCTGACATTTACCAAAAAGCTTTAAAATGCCTTTACCCTTTAACACAGCAATTGCATCAGAATTTATCCTTAAGGAAAGTAAGATTTAGCAGTGATGTTTAGCACGGATTATTGTTTATAAGTAAAATCTAAAAACAAGCCAGTTCAGTAAAAGTGGATTCACGGATCAAAAGATGGATCTATCCAACTGTCTGTTTATAAGACAGAAAACCATGCAGCCCATTAAGTGATGCTGTAGAAGAAATTTTCACTGAAAGGCTACTGCCTGAAAAAAAATGCACAGTATAAAAGAGTCTATATAACAACATTAAAGTGGATAATAGCAATTTCTGGGTGACCAAATGATATGGGATTTTTATCATGAGTTTTGCTTATCCACCTTTTCATATTTATTAATATGAATTATTTATATAAAGGCAATAAGTTATTTCAAAATTCAAAGGCAGTTTCTCAATAAATGGCATAATTTTTTTTTACACTCTGAACAAAGATTATAAAATGATGGTTTTAAGGCTTTTTAGGTTGGTATGGGAGAAGGCATGGTAGGAATCTGTTGCTCATTTGCAGTATAAA